ATTGTTTGACTAATTAGTTAATTAGTGCAGTAAAAATGGACTTTGTATCACGTTGACTCTTTGGAAAAGAAGTAATTTTTTTCAGATTTGAACAAGCTTTCATCAATCCAAATGGAAAGGACCCATTGGAAATAATTTACAAACATCAAACAAATCTAGTCATGTTGCATTATTTTGGTTGTATAACTTAACTATTCCTTCATATAGGTTAAAATTTAACAAGAATACTCTTAGAAATGAAATCGCAACACATTCACCATAACTTGTTCTGTAGACAGTGCTCTGTTATCATGTAATTTGAAATGGTTTGGATACAATACTGTTGATGATAATTTTACCTACATAAACGAGAGGGTTTTTGAAGTAAACGCTACTAGTTTCAAATCCTGGGGTGAACACTCTGCTGACGAATCCTAAATAAGACAAAATGTGCATCATATGTTCTAGTACTAGCCACACTGTATCTATCCTATGTAAACTAGTGTTCTTTTATTGTTGAGAATTGAACTTTATACTTTATTTATTCATTTAAACTAAAGCGTTTTGAAATTTTTTGCTAACTGATATTTATCGATTACTTAATTACTTACTGATTAACTTACTTGCATTTGCTTTCCATCATGGAGCATAGGTCGTTGACTAGCAATAACCAACCACCTTACTCTATTCTGAGCCTTCATTTCTAGTTGCTCGCAATTTTTATTCATTATTTTCATATCTGCCTCTGATTGTCGGTGCAATGCATTATTTCACTCTACTACTTTTTACAATGGCTGTTCTTGTGGAGCATTTTGGTGACTTCCGCAGTCTTTGTCCAGTACAACTCCTGCGGTTTTCTCGAAGTTCTTCTTCAGCTCGAAGTCGGTCTATTTTCTGCCACAGTAGATCTTTACCTAGGTTGTCTGGCCGATAGATCCGACGAATCTTGTATAGACAATTGGTATTATATACCCGTATTTTCGGATGTTGGTCTGCATGGTTCTGCAAGTTTCCGTTCCATACAGTAGAACGTTTTAGACATTTTTATTGAAAATTCTGACTTTGGTGTTGGTTGATAGATAGATGTTTTGAGTACCAGACAATCTTCAGTTATAGAAATGATGCCATTACTGTGCTAATCTGTGTCTTATCATCGGCATCGGACCCATCTTGTTTACGACTGATGATGCCCATGTATGCAAAGGCTTACACATCTTCCAAAGCTTCTCCATTGAGTGTGCTTCGGTTAGTAGTTTTTGCAGAACTGTTTTCACGTTTAAATTCAGATTAGGTTTGAAAGGAAATTCTCGGGTTTCTAGTGAGAAGATATGACTAGTAGAGTTCAAGCCTGTCAGGTGTAGGCAGGAACTACAAAATACAAATGACTGAGGTCGCGTAAAATCTTTAGGTTGATCAGAATTAGACACCGACACCGTTAGATGCCAGGCTATCGGTCCAGAGATTAGGCGTTCACACACAAGCCTAAAGGTCCTAGACTCGAATGCTGTAAGGTGCAGAAGTTGTGGGTGAGCACTGCTTATGAGTCCCATACCGAGACTAAATGGTCGTTCAGCGCTTCTAGGTTTTTAATAGTGGTCTAACAATGATTAATTGATGATTTCAATGCGTTAACATGTTTATTTAAAACTGAAAACAATGAAGTTGATAACTGCAGTGACGGTTTACGGATATACATATATGTACATATCTTTTAATTTCTAAATCTCTAATCTAAAACACTTGCTTTTGCAGACAACTTACTTCATCAATCGATTTCTGCATGGTTTGCCCAGTCATATAATTCAAATCTCATTAGGTCATCTGCACATATAGAGAGAAATGTGTTACTGTGTTTTAAGCAACGTGAAATCGACATGTGTTGTTCGTGATATTATTTAATAAAGACTGGCATATAAAATATCTTTCTTTTTGCCTTAACGATGTAATCTATAGTTGGAAACTATTGGTAATTATTGTAGATTATAGAGTGATTCATTCAAGTTTGATTTGATAAGGTTTTATGGCTATCACTATAATGTCAGTGATAATCATGTTAGTTTTATGTTTTACAAAGGTTTGCGATGACCCAGGTGCTTCCATTCTAAGCTTCTGAATTCTTCATGATATGGGGTTTTCTTTAAATTGATTTCACTGGTTGATATTTTCTCGAATCTTATCTTCGATCCCTAACTTTGTCGATTATCAATAATACTTCTACTGGCACAACTATACATTTTTCCTGACAATTTTCATTTCTCCATGATAATGAGGTATAGCAACTCGAGCTGATTTAGTACATACCTACTGGGTTCTATGTTGAAAACGAGTGACTGACTATAAGAGGCTGATAGTGGCTAACAGGGAAAGCCATAACTAGGATTTCGTTCAATCAGAGACTCGTCATTTGAATATGCCTGTATGATGTTTACATAAAAACTCGAATCCAGTTTTTTTAAGTTTGAAATACTTATGAGTGATACACTAGGTTACCGCGCTATACAACAAATTCGGTTTTATGCGAGCAATAGGCTTGATGGGAGAAGCTACTGAGTAAGACTGCTTTGACAGTGGTTACATATGAGTGTTCCTGTAAAAGGATAAGCGAACTCTCCCTACTGTTGTCTGTAAGAGGGAATTTGAAGGCGATCAAGTTCTTGTACTCATCTACATATAAATTTTGTTCAGTTCATCTTAAAAAGTGCTTGATGATGTTCAATGATTACAATCGTAAATTGATCGAAATTTTTCTGTTTCAACTATTTGACTTCACTTTAGTGTTCTTAAAGTATCCAATGACCAGATCCTTCGAACGGAACAATTTATCAATATGCCACAACTTTCAATGGTTGCCTAATTTAAATCAGTGTGTGATGTACAGCATAGAGCAGCTACTCACTGTGTGATTCTTGCATGAATCACCCAACTTCACATTCTTAAATGTCATCAACGGCTTTCTATGTGTTTTAAAGATATTTTCACTGATTGATCACGACCAATGTCATGAATTTCAGGGGTTTTTCAGGCCAGTCGAATTCCATCGGTTATGATCAGTTTTTTAATCAAATCGATAAACTGTAGCGAAATATCATTAAACAATTAAGTAACATTCACATGTCTGTTATGTTAGACATACGATGTGCGAAACTGTCAGTTTTCTTGATTAAATTTGAATCAATCTATGATATGAATTATATTTTACAGAATTCATCATTTAGCCATCTAACTATTGTCTAGAAAAGAGTTTACAGAGACTAGGGATTGACACTCAGATCTATTGAAAATCAAGAATACGCTAGAAACTCGTTTCTTCCTTGTCTGAAGCTGTTCAACCTTGCTTATTCACAGTCCGAAAAAAAAGGATCCAACTTTGGACTTTTAGGTTTACCAACTGGATCTTGATATTTAAGTCACAGGTGTGGTAAGACGACAGCGCAATATCATGAAATGTATGCCCTCAGATCCCTGCTCATTATAGTCCAGAGTTTAAAACATCATGTTCAAGACTGTTGGGGACGTCAGATCCTCAAACCTCACTAGATAAAGGTCCTAATTTTGGATCTTTTGTTGTCGAGCATGGGCAGATCAGTTGACCTTGAGATTACACTTCCCACCCGGAAGATCCTTGGCTGTCATTGGATAATGTATCATTTTAGTACGCTATTTTTGTGGCTCTCCCAAGGACGTTTCTATCATGTGTGAATAAGCTCGATTGGTGTGCTTATCGACCTCGTATTTTCTGAGTGCTTGTAGAATACACTTTCTACGCCTTATTAGAACGTTTTGTTTTATTGTTAGCAGGAGCGGGGACAAACAGATTAGAGTAGCCTAACGTTTCACTGCATCATTTGTCTTCGCTCTCGTTTACCGAGTAAGGTATACTCGTAAAAGTTTCACGCATATCAGCTGCTCGCAAACATAACAAAGATCAAAGATTTTAGGTTGAATTTCCTATGGTGGGATCCTGGATGTTCATTACTGAGAAGCTCTTCGGCTTTTAACACTTGTATAACATACGTTAGCTCGTGATCTAAATTCACATTTGTCTGTCGTCTATAATAATAATTGTGAAATATATTATCAAATTTATTCATGTATGAAATCGTAATTTATTGGTATTTCTTTTCAGATTTCATCTCCTCTACGTCCAGAACAAATATCATATATTGTAAGTAGAAAATAAATTATTTATTTTTATTATTTAAATAGCTTAACAATATATTACTCGGAATCATCCACCATATCAGTAGTATAGGTAGTTTTACTGATGACTGTTCAAGTCGAATAAACTAAAGTAGTTGGTTATCGTTTTTAAATAATTCAACTAATTGAAATCATGAATTGTTCATTGTTGAACCACTCTTAGAAATCTGGAAGCATTGGGATGCCGTTTCGTCCAAGTATAAAACCCACGGAAAACAATCCACACGGTTGCACAATACCTTGGATTGATTCAAGTTAAGCATTAACATTGTTGGATGCCGGCTCAGTGGTTCGGCGGTTTAGCGTTCACGCGTGAGACCAAAGGTCTAGGGTTCGACCCATTTGTGCAGCGTCATGTATTTTCACTGTTGATGAGTCTGATACTAGTACGAGACAGCTGTCCATTGCTTACAGGTTTTTAATGGTGGTCTAACACTAATCAATTCACGAAACTGAGCAATCTTCACAACTCCATAGTGAATTCTACACCAGTATTAAAAAAAAGAATAAGATAATTGTTTCTTATGGAGTATATCATACTCAACAGAGTAAGTATATGAGAATACACTTGAGAATGTGTTAGAAAGGTTCAAGTTCTCTTTTTAGTTTAGGACGACCTTAAATATTGACCAGTAGAATTAGACCTAGGAATTAGTTCTTTAGTATATTTGATGAGTATTCTAACACAGTCATTAAGGAATAAATGGTTTTCTGCACAGTTGTATTTCTCTATTTTTTTTCTTGTGTAGAGATTTAATCTTTTTTAAATTCATTTTCTTAATCCATAGCTTAGTCGTAATCAAACTTTCGATGAAAACTCTATGCCATCTGCATGGATTGCACCATTTCCTCCATCAAAGTATGCAACTGACAAATTTCACTCTGCCGCATTCAAACCAGACTCCAAACAAACTGATCCATTTCATCAACGTATCAGTCCAAGTCTTATACAAACAACTCCATTCAATCTACCCTCCACCACTCTGTCAACTTCTCATCTAGATAAACAAAAACGGTCTGCTAAATCAAAACAGACATGGTCATCAGAAAAATCCGCGGATCAGCATGGAACATCGTTAGTATGCAGTTTATCAGCTGAATTAGCTAGTGTTGGTAAACAGAGATTTCGATTAATCTATATAACAGATCGTTTATTAGGTAAGCTGTTATGATTGTATGAAGTAGATGTGTTTAAAAATGACTTAGTTTGAATGATATGGCTTAACAGCGTTTGCGGTCATGCAGGCGCATCCATTCTTTGTGTTCTCTCAAATTCTAATCTTTCAAATGCCTCATCACCTTTATCTGTCTGGTTTTAGGTTTATTTCACTAGATTATACCCCTTGAATAATATCATCGAACCTTGCGTCGCTATGTGCTGATGCACGTACGTACGAAGTTCTACATTGCGGCTGACTGACTGACTGACTGCATAGAGGATCACAATAGTTTACAGTGATTACCAATTATGTTTACAAGTATCCCACTGTATGTAAAGGAAGGCATCAAGATCCTGACGTCTTGGAGTGGACTGAGAGAGAAGACATGGTTAATTAGTAAAATGTGTTCGTCGGAACTCCATTTGCATGTATTCTGCTCTTCACAACGGTTTGATTGTGTTTTACATTCGGATTCAACATTCCAGTAGTAACTTTTGTGCAACACTCCACTGCATACTACTTATAAGCCATGTTGCAAATAGTATGCACTACTCTAGTAAAAGTTGTAAGAAGGAGCTCACATACCAACCGAAACGTACCAGTATACATATGAAAAAATATTCTATAAACTCATTAAAAGAGGCTTTTATAGAAATCTATATATTTTTAAAGTTTGTTCACAAGGAATAACCCAAGTTCAAATCTAGCTGTGATGTATACTACTCGTAACCTGGCTCATAAGTAGTACGTAGCGGAGCATCACCCAGAAATTATATTGGTTTAAATGTGAACAGATATTCTACAGATGCATTAAAAGAGGATTTTATAAAAGTCTATATATTTTTAAAGTTTGTACATAAGGAATAACCTAAGTCTAAACATAGCTGTAGATACTACTCAAAACATGGCTTATAAGTAGTAAGTAGAGGAGTGCTATCAAGACATTACTACTGAAAAAAATAGCGTTGAATCCGAATGTACAACGCGATCAAAGCGTTTTGAAGATCAGAGGACATGTGAAAGAAAGCGAATGAAAAATTTAAAATAAGTTGCACCCATTTTGCTAGTAACTCAAAAATACATTTTTTTCAAAATTTTCAATGTTTTGAATCAAAATTTGCATCATGAGGTTGTCGAGATCATCGAATTAATTTTTGAAATCATGAATTGATTAATGTTAGACCAACACCGGAAACATAGAATAAGTGAAAAGTGGCCATTTCGTCCAGTTATGCAACTCAGTAGCAGTGCGCATTTTCGACTCCTTCAACTTCCAGGATTCGAATCCGGGACTTTCAGTCTTAAGCGCAAACGCCTAACCTATGAGGCCGATGAGCTGGCTGGCATCCGACGATGTTAAAAGGCTGGCTTCAATCAATCCAAAGTCTTGAACAGCCTTATCCTCTGTCTTCGGTGAATACTGCTTCACATCCGAACAGGGCTGAAATCCACTGGTTTCGAATCCTCACTAGAATTTGAGGAAACTTTCTCATGAAGCTATTCACTGGTGAGCACAAGATAATTTGAAATATGTGGTCCTGAAGATTGTTGAGTTTTATTAAAACCATTAAACGATCATCGAAAGACTATTTTTAGAAACCTGGAAGACCCAGGTTATGATTCCCATTCACAGGGGTCATAGGATGCAAGACGAAAGGATATGGGTTCGGATTCCGCGAGCTACAGGAGTCATGGATGCGCACTGCCTCTGATGAGTCCCATAGCAGGACGAAACCTCCGTCTTCCATTACTTTCACGTTTCTAAAAGTGGTGGTCTAACAATGATTCATTCCTAATTTTTAAATCAAAGTATCAAATTACATAAATTTAATGTCTTAACAGCGAAAATAAAAAGAATCGTTTATTTTTGAAAAAGAATGCTGAATAATGTTCATTCTTCAATGAATTTTCGTTTTAAATTTTTATTATTATTATGATGATTGAATATTAAACAAGAATAATCACCTAGTTCTTTTGTTTCTGAACTGATTTTCTTGACTCATCATTTATGCGTATAAAAACGAAATGTACGTTTATTTTTTAATGATACAATGAAAAAGAACCCTAAATCAAAGTATCTTTTTTTTGTGAAGCAACTTTTAATTTTAATGATGTTTTAAAGTGTAATTACATAGCAACCAAATATATACATATATATATGTATATAGTACGGTAAGAGTGTAGATAGTGTATATAGAGGGATAAAATTTGTTCCAAATTTCAACCTGTCTATGAAAAATGAAAAATCACTTTGGTAAATGGATAGTAGAGTTTAGGAAAGAAGAAGTGTGAACATTTGATTGTGTAAACAAACATATGTAACTAAATGAAGTTGGTGACTCATAACAATGTTTCCATATTGAATATAAAATACCTCCAGTCTTCATGAAGCTTAATAGGGACACGGAAATAAATTTTATACGGATTCCTAAATTGTTTCTGGTTTGGGGTAAGTGATTAGAAAATTTGGGGATTCAGTATAACAGTCATGATTGATTAACGTTGTCGGACGATGGCTTAGTGGTCTAAAGATTAGATGTTCGCATGCGAGACCGAAGATCCTGGGTTCAATTCCAGAGGGCGTGAGTTGTGGATGCTAACTGTTGATGAGTCCCGTTCTAGGACCAGAACGGCTGCCTTTTAGTGTTTGAGACTAGAGTTCGGATAGAAGATTTAAGGCCAAGGGTTTCTTAATGTGTTACACTTAATCTTCATTGAAGGTTGAGCTGAGCACTTATTACTTCTGATACTATCTATTTAACTCACTGAAGATGAAAACCGTAATTTTTTTCTTATTTCTCAAACATTTTCTATACAAAACAGAAACAAATCTTTGATATCGATTTTTTGTGACAAGCGATATAAAAGTATGAACAATATTTTTTTTGAAGTATCAAAAATTCAATCTAAAACAACAGCCAGTAGGGATGTGTGTTGCCAGAGAGTGGAATTAAAGATGCTTGACTGGTCCTAACTCGCCTCAATACATTCCCTGGTATTCTTTATCAATCCTCAACTCTGAATTTTGACATTTTCTTGATCAAGTTTAGTATTCATGGTTGTCTGTTTGCATCGATTTCATTAATGGCATGTCATTTCATAATGTTAACGAAGACAACCTATTCACAGACAAGACCATCAGAATTGACTGATTTGAAACTTATTTTTGTGTGTTAAAGTACCTAAACATTGATGCAAAACGGCACCAAAATGTATATATATGCACTATTTAAATTAATGAGTTTATATATCTGCAGTGGCATACTACCAGGATGTCCAAACTGAACCTGGTGCTTTTCTAAGCGGACCAATACCCATATCTTTTACCTAGACATCTAGTCTACAAGAAAATGGGGCAAAGTCCGGAGATATAGTCCCATGGTAGCCAGTGACCAACAGTATGTTCATCCACCGTTTGCCTCCCCCCTCCTAAAGATCCTGGAGCCCATGGGTATGATTGGTTGAAAATGATGGCTTTCCAACTTTCATAGGTAGTTCTGCCGTGAAAATTAACTCGATTTACGTATCAATTATTCACTTTTCGATCTCTTTAGTTGATAAACAATATCCTTTTAGTGAGAAAGACAGTCACCCTACACATGTGACCTAATGAAAGCATCTGGAAAAGAAGAGCGGACTCCCTTCCACTCACAGTATAAATAAATTCACTGATCCCTGTTTTATAATCCCTAACATTACGTATACATTCATAATAACATTTCAAATTTCTGCCTTCATAGTGTTTTTAACTCATCTTCCAGAAAGTTTACAATAGTTTATCACAAAAATAAACAGCTGTAGAAACATTCCTAGTGCATTTTTTCTTAATATTACTAACTAACTATTATTAACGTAGATTTTTTCGCGCGAATATTAATCAAAAACTATGCACATTCATTAGCTGTAAATGAATTGGCGATTAAAACAAATGACTTTCCCAATAATTATTCTATGACTATTATTATTATTATTATTATTATTATTATTATTGAATATCTGTTTTGTTCAATGTTTATGTAAGAGAAAAATGAATAGGTTCTACTAATCTGTAATTATCCGATCATTAAACAATACAACATCTGGTCTGCATATGTTTTTCTTTGGATAACATGAAAGAAGTCTGGAGAAAAATCAATCGTATATAGATTATGATTGGAATGATGAATCGATCTGTTAGACTACCACCAATAGAAAAATGGGTGGTTGTTTCATCTTAATATAGGACTCTTTAGCAATGCGCATCTAAAATTTTACACATGGGAATCGAATGAAAGACCTTCGGTTTTATGAGTGACTGCTTAACGTCTAGGCCACTCAGTCGGCGTCCAACGGTGTTGATATTTAACTACAGTTGATTTACAAATATTGTGTGATGTTATACATTGTTTTCAGAGTGCAATTGTCTCATAATCGACACGGTTGAACTCCACTAGTCTAAGGCATTTTATTAAAACTCCGAGAATTTTCTGATGAAGCTACTCACCAGTGAGTTCCTGATAATTTCTACTGTAGATTTGTGGAGCATGTGCGGTTTCTGTTAGGATATTCATCCAATATATCCTACGAGAATTATTGGTGAATTCTTATTGGTTAATTCCTACTGGTCAATTTTGTGGTCGTCCTAGATATCAATGTCACGTGCTCCAATGTTGTTTCTTATTGGTTGTCCTGACTATCAATGTCACTTCAAATGTTGCTTCCTATTGGTCGTCTTAACTGTCAATATCACAGACTTCGATGTTGTTTCCTAATCGACAAAAATGTATAAATACGCATTATCTGTTACGTTTCATGACCTGGACCCGGATCCCTAGTCCGGAATCTTGATTCTCCTCTCCCTGTACTTTCTGGATGCTTGTAGTATACAGGTTATATTTCACATCAAGTCTTCTTCTTTTATTCAATGGGTATTGGGACACTCGGATTACAGTAGCATGTCGTGTCACCGGATCCTCGATCCTGACTCTGGTTTTCCGACTAAGGCACACTCATAATAGTTCAAGCATATCGAGTTGACGTGTTTACGTGCATTTGTACCAGTTTCATTGCTCAATTTCGATTTCCGGCGTGCAGCTGTCGTGGATTTACTCAGCTAACCAGTTCCATACTGCAATGAAACTGTAGTTCAATGCCTCTAGGCTTCTAATGATGGTTTTACACTGATCGATTCATGTTTTCAATAAAACTCAACAATCTCCACAACACCATGACGACATATAGAGATTAATTTTTTACAAACCATGATTGTTTGTTATTATTAAAAGAGTTAGGATAGTCCATGAATGATATTATGTGAGATTTTATCAGGGAATCTCCAACCATTAGAAAACTATTTTGACACTATTTGTTTGATATTTCACATGACAACAATTATTCAACGTGATTGAAATGACCTAATCACCACTAATCACTTAATGAACCTCGTATAGTCGTTTTGACGTTCGTTTAGAAATCATCCAGCTGTTTCACAAATGAACTAAGCTTAGAAATATGAGTAATTCAAGATTGGGTGTTCGCGCGCAAGATCGAAGGTCCTAGTTTTGAACCCTGCGAATGGCACAAGTCATGGATGTGCACTGATGTGGAGTCCTGTAGTTAAGACGAAACGATCCTCAATTGCATCGAGGTTTCTAACGGCGGTCTGAAATTTATCGATTCATGATTTTGATTTCAGAAAATTATTGATTATTTTGTTCACACAATGATTGACTAAACTTCTCTCTGTTGTAAAAAAAGTCAGGGTTCTTTTAAAACGCTTTGCACTTACAATAGACATATAATTCGGTAAGTAGACAGAAAGTAACCAACATTCCACTTAACACCTAATCACTTACTTACTTACTTACGCCTGTTACCCCTAATGGAACATAGGCCGCCGACCAGTGTATTATTTTTCTGGTTAGCGTTTCCTTTTTAGCCGGCTGGATTTCTACGGGATGGGATCGCTAACCTCATACCCTCCTCCTTGTTTATCCGAGCTTGGGATCGATAGTAACCTTGTAAAGGACCCAGGTGGAGTTGCCATTTAACTCTAATCAACATTATATAACAATTATCTAGGAAAAAACATTCACACCGTCAGATAATGGAACATGCATTAATCTGTGATACAATCGTAATTGCTTAAATATGAGTAGTATTGATATTTTTATAAACTTATCAGTCATCGAAATGTTATTCATGTCATATGTATATAATCGATTGAATTCAATCTTCGTTTAGAACTAAACAATGCGATTCTGCAAATGAAGGAATACGTAACATCGTAGCTTGTGAATGAATTTTTAGAATCGATGTGAAGTTTGGTTGATTTTAGATTCGACTAACAAACACACTCATGAACAATCAATCGCAACGTAGAACTTCGTACGTACGTACATCAATTCACGTTGCCATACCACAATAGCACAGAGGTGTAATTGTCAATTCAAATCCCATAGTACTGGAGGTAGTAAAAGTATTAGCAGTAGTCGGAGAGGTTAGGATTATAAGATATTATTATTCAAGAAGTAGAACCTAGTTAAATAGACTTAGAAATACAAAGATAAAGTGATGAAGAATTAAAAAGTTTAGGACTTGAGAGAGCACAAAGAATGAATGCACCTGCGCCATTGGCAACACTCATGAACAGATATCGATAAGTAGAAAATAAGTTATCATTGGAAAATGACTTATTTTTAAAGATGGATAATTAAACTATTACGTTGTAGAAATTCATGGTATATGTCTAAAAGACAGATTGATGACGTATGTTATTATGTAATTCAACCTGCGTACAATGTGTTTCACTGATTCTGTAGGGTTCGTCACTAGGTACACTTGAAGCTATTACGAGTTCTCCTTAGTCGAATAACGCAAACGAGACAATTAATCAGCGTCCAGATAGGCTACCTTGAATCTCAAGCTGAAGATAGAAGGCTTTGTAAGCGTAGAAAGTATATTCTACAAACACCCAGCAATCTCAATACAATCAAGCACACAACTCTCGTTTATTTTTACATCATAGAAACGTCTTTGAGAATATTAAGAAAATAGCACACTAAAATACACAGTAGAGCCAATCACAGCCATGGATTTTCCTAGTGGGAATTGAAATTCCAAGGTCATCTGACCAGCCCATGCTGGCAAACGTGAAATCCAAAATAAGGCATTTAACAAGCGAGTTATCGGGATCTACCATCCCCAACAGATTGCAAGCATCTACAGGTTGTATGTTTTTATTTATGAAGCAACTTTGATGACTTTCCTGCTCTCTCACATTGTACAAACATCTCATGTACCTAAATTAATAGTTGGTCTGGTTGTCAGAGGGGGTATCGATCTCGTGACTTCCGAAAGAAGTCGGCTTTCATTATAAGATATCATAACTTTTCTGAAACAAGTAGTAATTCCGATGGCGGACATTAAAGGGTTTGAATTATAGTTTCTGGTTAGCGTTTTTTAGCGAGTTAGTTTTCTAGGGGATAAGATGGCTAACCCCATGCCCAACCCTCCTCCTTTAAGGAGGCTTTGGAACGGCAGTGGCCCCGAAGTGACTTTGAGCGAAGTTGAATTGTCAAATATGAAATCAGTTCCGTCATTGTATTATATAACGATTACATAATATTTTCGGGCAGAGTTTTGGTGGTTTTGTGTTTTTACGCATTTGAAATCATCAATCAATCATTGTTAGACCAATATTAGAAACCTGGAAGCACTGGACGGCCGTTTCATCCTGGTATGGGATTCATCAGCAGTGCGCACCCACGACTCCTGCACCTCTCAGGATTCGAACCCAGGACCTTCGGTATTGTGCGCGAACGCCTAACCATTGGACCACTGGGCCGGCATCCAACGGTGTTAATGTCTACTCTGATTGATCTACGGCTGATGAATCCCATACCAGGACGAAATGGCCGTCCAGTGCTTCCAGGTTTCTAATGTTGGTCTAATAATCATTGATTGATGATTTCGGATTACATAATAGTTTTAATCAATAGGAGAAATCAATTCGATCATCATGGTTGTATTCTTTTTCAGTTTTCTTGTTAATAACATTTCAGTTAACTGATAAACATCTAATGAGCAGACTGAATTATTGATGTAAAACAGTATAACTTATAGTAACGAATGATTCTGTATGAGAAACAATTCACTAAACACTTACGCGTTACATGTTAATCCATTTTTGATTTTGCATACTTCTTTTGAAAAAAATCATAATCTACTTATGTATTTTACTCTACTTTTTTTTGGTTTTTAGTTGTAAGTTATCCACCAGAAGCAACTAAAACTGATCACAATGAAGGTGCTCGATGGTTATGTAGAGCATTTGAAAAACGTTATGGTGAAAATTACAAGGTATATGTTACGATACTTTCATTACTACTACTACTACTACTACTACTACTACTACTACTACTACTACTACTACTACTACTACTACTACTACTACTACTACTACTACTACTACTACTACTACTACTACTACTACTACTACTAGCCC